CGTCAAGAAGGGGGCTCATGTACGTCTGGAGAGCAGTCTCGATGTCCCACTGCGAAGGTGCGTAGGAGGGACTGAACAAGGAGAACGTCAGGTGGTATGTTGGAGCATACTTCAGGGCGCGCGTGGACTGGCGCTGAAGCTCTGCGGACATTTCTGGAGAAAGCGCCTTCACTTTGGCAGCATGTGCACCAGAAGTTACCGACAAGACGTGCGCCAACTGCGCCTGCTCTTCCCCAAATATGTTGTGTAGTTCCTGAGCAAGGAATGTAGCGAGACTCGAGCCAGTCGATGACTGCGATGGAATCTGGTTTGGCGAGTAGTACACGTCTAGCGTTGGGGAATATGGCTGCAGCTGCGACCGTGGCGTTGTGCCCGTCTCGACAGGTATCAGTCGGATGACCAGGGCCACGTCCTTGTCATCGCTCTGGATGCTTGTTCCATCGACAATGACTTGTTGCGAGGCGTTTTGCTGCGAGGGAGAATCGGCGAGCATCAGTCGGAGGTGGTGGGCAGAGAAGTCGTTGATATCGTCGAGAGCATGTTGCGTCGTACGGAGGAGATGTTGCGCATCCGTGGAAGGGATCGGGGCCTCTACAGCGATGCGCAGAGGGAAGACTGGCTTACAGACCTGCCGCGGTGTCAGCTATGTTGTTGACAGGGTGCTATACTTTGGAGGGTTCTACCTTGCCCTCAGCCCAGTCCGTCATGTCCTGCAGTGGCAGCTCTGCCCTGTAGATGGCCGTTGTCTTCAGCCATATTGGTAGGCCCAGAAACACCACGACCACCCAAAAGGAGAGGATGGACAGGCGGCGCAGCCATAAGCTCTCTTTCGTCTCGGGCGGAGGCTGCTTAGCCAATGCTGCCGCGGTGGGGGTCGAAGGCGACTGAGCGGACGTCTGCTTCAACTCGGCCGCCAGCGACGCGTCGGAATCATTTGGTGCAGCCATGTTGCGGTTGACTTGTTCCATGCTGTCACTTGGGGCAATGTCGCGCTAACACAAGCGTCCGTGCGTCTGGGTCCACCATTCACGCTCACACGAGACATCTCCAGTACCTCGCAACCACTTCATCTAAGAAAAAGAGTAAGTGCCCTAGAGCTCACGTTGACGTCAGATCCTCTACTTTGCATGTTTTTATGTTAATGTAGGCTAGAGACTTGTTAAGGTTTTCTATGAATGAGGTGCAACCACGCTACTGCGCCATCATTCATCCTCATAGGACAGCAGTGGACTGTGATTCATTCATGTTCTCTGTTCTCCATCATGAGCTCTCTTCTTTTAAAGGAGCTTCGAAACGTGGAAAGCGTCAATGCAGACACAAAGTCCACCCTACTAACCTTGGGAGAGTCGGATCCTTGGCTAGGATCAGATTCAAGGAAACGCGTGCAAGCAAGGCTGACTAGGCTTTTAAGAGCGCGTTATCCTGTCAGCTGAGAAGCTTCGTCGATCTGGCCTCTGCCAAAAGGAAGCAGTACTTAGGTAGTCAAGCGGGCCCGAGCTGCAACGAGCGATTGAGTTTCAGCTTACTTTGTATGCTTTCTAGCGTGCGGTCTCCAGGCATATCCCGAGAGCCAGACAATTTGCGCAGAATGTTTGAGTGTCCTATTTACCATCTTCAATTTCATGTCTCGTGATAGCAACATGTTCTGTGGTCGTGCTTTATTGATGGTCTGCTCGTGAACACATGGTCCGTGCGTGACAATATGAGTGAATTCCAATGAAGCTACATTCAGCCCTCACGCTGGATTTCTTGATCAATCACGAATCACCTAGCTTCCGAGTAGCTTCGCACTATTCATCACTCATCTCATAGCTCATCATGGTTGTTTCAGGGACGCATGCGATCGAGACAGGCCAGCAAGGGTCAGCACGCGGGGAGCTTCGATCGACGTTCTTGCCCCGCCGACTAGACTACTTGCAGCGACAAACGGTCCGTGCTAAGCGGGGTTGCATATCTGGGGAAGGAGAGCTACAGACGTGACGCGGTGCTTGGGCACGAGACTATAGTAGCTACCCCTCTCAGCTGAGACAGCTTCGCTCCTTCCTACTACTCTCTCCTCCAACAACTTCATGCTCACTTCAACAACTTACTCAGTCCATTTCAACTCACATCCTACTCCAAATCATTCACAATGAGTGCAATCGCTGACAGCACCGATGGCCCTGTCGAGCAGGTCAAGGTGCTGTTTGCCCTGTTCCCGGGCTACAACACGCTCGACGTGGCAGGTCCGCTTGAGGTCCTCAGTCGTTCCCTCCAGGACTCCAAGGACAAGTGTAAGCTTAGAAGCTCAGTCAATTGGATGTTTGTTGACACTCCACAGCTAGCAAGGCGTTCAACTGCCAGTTCGTCGGCACTGCTGCTGCCATGACGTCCGTCCAGGGTCTCACCATCAAAGCGGACATGGACTATGATGTAAGCACACCCGCGAGAAGCAAGGAACCTACGCTGACATCCATCTCAGGACGCCAACGACGAGCTTGAGGACTTCGACGTCGTCATTGTTCCCGGTGGTGAGGGTGTCTTTGAGGTCCTCAAGAACAAGTCTGAGCCTCTTGGCCTCCTCACCAAGTACGTCGAGCTCCAGGAGAAGAGTCCCAGCAAAGAGCGCACCATCCTCGCCATCGACGTCGGTGCTCTGCTCCTCGCTCAGCAGGGCATGCTCGAGGGCCTTGCCGCTACAACCCACCCAGACTACTACGTCCGTCTCGAGACCATCTGTCAAGATGCGGCTAGACGCGACATGTCGGAGCGTACAGACGTCATGGAGGAGCGGTACGTTGTCAACAACGCTCGCTTCGACCTAGGCGAGAACCCCGACGACAACCCGTAAGTAGGCCTTGAATTGCGGTGGCATGCAACGCTCACCATTACAGGTACATCATCAAGAAGTCGCGTGAGCCGCCCAGCGCTCCCGAGGGCACCAACATGGGCCATGCTCGTAGGAAGTCGATCGCTCGCAAGGGCAGCAACGCCTGGCGCGACTCTCGCCGCCGCGAGTCGATCGCTCGACGTGCTTCCATGCCCCTGGGCGGTATGCGCGTCATCACCACTGGCGGTGTGACTGCTGGGCTCGATGCCAGTCTATACTTGGTGGGTTCTTTGGCTTCTCACGACTCGGCTCTGGAGGTCGCTCGTGCTATGCAGTATTCTTGGGTCAAGGGCGTTACGGTCGATGCGATCGATGTTTGAGCTACGGCTCCCGCGCGACAAGCGAAGGCGTTTACGAGGAAAGGGTTGAACGGAGATCTGAGAAGATCATCTGGAACATGTCGGGAATCATAGAGATTTACCACGACGAATCATGTGAGGATTCATTCGAGAGTATGTAAAGAATCAAGAAATTCTAAAAGAGCTTTTCGGGAGTTTGAGGTGTCGTTGCGAGAGCGGCCGTGCCAGTGCGAAGCTCAAGCGTCTCCACAAGCTCCACAAGCTCCACAACAGGCGGACAACCGATCTTCCGCTCTTTACCTCACCGTCACCGGTTCCCACAGGATTTGCATCGCAACTTGCGCAGCCGTCAATCTTATTTGCATTGGCTTGGTTACAGCCTTCATCATGACGCGTCTGTCATCTCCAATGAACGATTGCGCGGCGGGACCGGTCCATCTCGGCCAGCTTTCCACAGCCATCGCAGCTCGGGAAATCCCGTTCACACTGCTAATCACAGCGTCCACCACTTCCGTGCATCAAGTGTACACTGACCTCGCGGACCAGAACTATATAAAAGTGTAAGACTTTCAAGGTTGTGAGATCACTAACGCATATGCAGTAATGGTCGTCTCATGCGGAAGCGTGTGAGCCACTGGATGTCTGCATGCATTTTCGTCACAGTAATCGACGGACTTTATCCGCGGGCGTAGTATGTTGAACCTGGTATCTCGAAGCGTTCAAACGAAGCAAGCTCTACTCTCCGCCTCATCGACCTCGACACGGCGCAGTGCAAGCTCGATGTTAGGCCAATCCCTGGAATATGCCGACGACGCTGTCCACATGATCGCTACGGGTCCTTGAACATCATGCTGGCAACTGAAGAACTTCTCCTTCGATTTTACTTTATTACAAATCCCACAGACTATGCCTAGACGTCGTTCTCAAGCTCACTGTGCCCCGTCTGACTGAGTCTTGGAGAGCTGCCACCAAGAACCCGTCGATCATCGCTTGCCCACACGAAGACTTTGACGCTTTGACTGGCTTAGCATTATGGCCGTCGTTTCCAGAGCGAGCTTCTAACTATACTCAGCCAGTGTCTCAGTATGCCTGAGCTCTTTCAGTACGCTTACATGGTCCTGGGCCTATCATCTCCATCGCCTGCCTGCCATCTAGCTGATTCTGGGCGTGATCCTAGGATGATTCAGCAGACGGACACGATATGAACTCTTTCTTAGCGCCAAGAATCGCCGAATGTGTAATGCTACCATCAGATCTTGTTCTCCGTTGGGTGAAGCGACGGATTTCCCGCCCCCGCATGAGGTAAGCAGCAACCGAAGCGCTTCGTCCCGAACCAATCGCGGAACATGTGATGTCAAGACTGATGCATGAAGATGGAGCTGTCTTAGCAGCCAAGTCTTTATAATCCAGGTCACTTCGGGATTTTGTCAACTTTCTGCTGCGATCGTCTAGTTGTTGACTTCGTATCTCACCTAAGAAGTCGCCCTGTAAGGATATGCTGCCTTACTCTGAGCTGTTCATCGCTCTCGTCTGGCGTGACTGACACAAGGCCGCATCGAAACTCCAGCTGGAGCCAGTAGGAGTGACAGGAACACCGTTGCTTACTGGGAGACATTCTGAGTGCCACCCAGGCAGGACGAGCAGAAGGATTACGACTACGTCGCCAAGTAAACAGCTGTTGTTGAACGACCGGGCCTATCACACGTTCAAATACGAAACATACAGGACGCCTATAGACGACAACGACGGGGGTGGTGAACAACGGAGGCTGGAACATGTAGCCAACGGAAAACCATAAATACCCCCTCGACTGTCTCTTCTTTCTTCTCAGAATGACAACACGCAACCTAAACGGCAATTGGATTGACACTCTCCGAAGACAGTACGTCTACGACCTGAAAGACGACTCTCCCCATCCTATCAAATACCTTCTTTACAATCCCCACAAGAAGCAAGACTTGTACTTTGTCATTCCCAACAAGATCGAAGAGCCGCAACTAAGACGCTCCCTTGTCAAGTACCACCTATCTACCAAGGGTACCTCAGTCGTCGAGTGGGAGAACGAGCACATCCAAGTCATCTACCACCCTCGATACGCAAAGGAGCTACGAGAAGCCGCCCAGTCAACCAGCGAAGCAGAAACCCAGAACGAATCACCAACTCCCGAACAGCAAACATGAAGTTCACCCTCGCCACCGCTCTTCTTCTCCTCGCTCCCGCGCTTATCAAAGCCTGGAAGTTTGAGGTCTTCGAAGAAGACTGCATCACCTCTACTGACTTCAACGAAGGGGACGACGATGTAGAGTGTGAAGATACGGCGGAGCCGCACGGGTGTTTCCGCATCTCTGAGATGGGTAGCTGCGAGATATTCTTCCACGCGGATGCTGATGAGTGTGAGGATGGCGAGGTCACTATGTCGTACACGGCTACGGACCAGGATCGCGATATCACGCCTGACTTTGAGTGGAACAACTGGAGCGTTCAGTGCTAGAACTGGAAATGATTGTACGTCGTGTGGGAGTGAAGGGTGAGATGTTTGGTCCGGTGGACTGTCCAATCGCTAGATACTTTACCTAGGTATTCTCTTATTTCTTTGAAGTATCGCTGTGATAGCATGTCAGTCGTTAGATAAATACTACAATCGAATCTGTACAGATCTAGAGCGTTGACGTAGACGTCGCAAAGTCAATGCGGACGTTGAAAACCACAGGAGCGTAGTGTAGACGAAGCCGTCTGATCATTGCCTAGGTGCACCGCAATAGGCGGCAGGCTTTCAGTGCTACTTGAGCTACTCTCACTTTTTTGATGTCGGAGTAGTGAAAAGAATGATCGGTAAACTTCATACAACTTGCAGAGTATCTGTTCACTTCAACGTCACCTAGACTACGACGACGCTCAAGGCCTCCATGGTATCTTCACGAGCGCTGCAATCAACGGACATGAGAACCTGCCTAATTGGGACGTTCCACCTCACGCTAGTGGGCACTGACATGACCAATCACAACCACGAAGTGACAGACCCGCCTAAACTTGCCCTCCCCTGCTCGCGTCTTCCCCAACGCAAACCGCCATGTCTTGGCCACGACGAACCTAGGCAAGCCACAGATGTCGCAACACATGGGCGCAATGATTGGACAATGAGTGTTCATCACGTCTTCTTCGCGACTGAAGCGTCTTGGCTTCTGCGCGTCTGTCTGTGCATGATGCGTGTGCCCAGCTTCAATTCCTCTCGAGGATATAGTCCATCCTTCCATTAGCACAACCATCGCATCACGACAACGCGCATGAGGTAACCATCACTACCAATGCCACTTCAGTCACTCATAAGTTCGCTTCGGCGGCGCAGTCATCGCGCCGCGCCTCCTCCAGCGCACTTGCAGGCAAATACCGAGAAGATCCAATGGCGTCTCGTCGAAGTGTTTACCCGCATGTGGGATCTAGGGTTCACTGCCTTTGGAGGGCCGCCTGTGCATTTCCAGATTCTGCATCGCAGGTTTGTGGAGGGAGTGGGGTTTCAGGGTGGGAGTAAGTGGTTGGATGAACAGACTGTAAGTATGCGTGTGCAGATGCGTAGTAGTAAGCTCTATGGTAGAAGTACCAATGAACTGGGTTTCAAGGAAGAGCTAGGAAATCTTCTTGAGACCGGATGAGAAGATGGAGAGATGAACCACTCCCTCGACTACCTCTACAACAGAATGCCGCGCAACTAACAACACTCCCCAGTATCAAGAACTCTTCGCAATCTGCCAAGCACTCCCCGGCCCCGCGTCTACCAAGATGTGCTTCTGCATTGCCCTCCTCCACGCGGGTATAGTCTCCGCCGTCTTCGCCTTCCTCCTCTGGAGTCTCCCCGGCGCAATCGGCATGTACGGTCTCTCACTCGGCGTGCAAAAGATGCCCGAACGCCTCCCACCCATCGTGTATGCCCTGCTCTCCGGTCTCAACGCCAGTACCGTCGGTATTGTCGCACTAGCTGCTGTTCAACTAGCTGAAAAGGCTATTAAAGACCGTGTAACACGTATCCTGGTGATCTTCGGTGCGTGTGCGGGACTGTGTTATAATGCGCTTTGGTTCTTCCCCGTGTTGATTGTTATCGGTGGACTCACGACGGTGGTATGGGATGTCTGGCTTGGGCGGCGCGTGGGTAAGATGAGAGCTGCGTATCTGGCTAAGAGGAGGAGAGCGAGGAATGAACAAGGTGATGCGGAAGAAGTTTCGGCTACCACGCAGACCATACCTATTGAACTTCAGCGACCGGAAGCTGTGAAGAGGAGGGTTGGGACGGGTAGCTCGACTGATCGTATTGTGCCTGAGCAGGAAGAGGCAGGGAGGAGTCATGCAGGTGAACATCCAGTTGTTGATGATGTGATTGCGACGAATGAGCCTGTAGCTGATGTTAAGACGCATAACATCTCGGTCAAGGTTGGCATGTCGCTTATCGTGGGATTCCTTATCTCATTCATCGTCGTTATGGTCATCCGTGGAACGGTATCCAGCACCCGGTCCTTCGATGTTTTCTCCAACATGTAAGCACCCTGTCTACCCATCCAGCTCTTCCCACTAATCTCACACTGCACAGGTATCTAGCCGGCACCATAATCTTCGGCGGCGGGCCCGTAGTGATCCCCCTCCTCCGCTCCTACGTCGTAGACCCAGGCTGGGTATCGCCCCGAGACTTTCTCCTGGGCCTCGCCATCATCCAAGCCTTCCCCGGCCCCAATTTCAACTTCGCGGTTTACCTTGGCGCTTTGGCCATCGCCTCAGCTCCTGCTTCTACACCGACCATCGTGGGCGCCCTCCTTGGTTTCATTGGCATCTTCTTCCCTGGCATTGTGCTCGCAGTCGGTGTGCAGTCTATCTGGCAGGTTATGCGCACCAAGGCTTGGGTGGCTAGTCTGCTAAGAGGTATCAACGCGACTGCTGTGGGACTGGTGTTCACGGCTGTGTATAGACTTTGGGAGATTGGTTATCTGACGCCGGAGAGCAGTGATGGGAGGAGTTTGGCAGATGAGCCGTGGTGGGTGGTTGTTGCTGCTATGGCATATGCGGAGACGGCTTGGTTTGGTGTGCCGCCTGCCATAGCGATTATCATCGGCGCTGTTCTGGGACTGGGATGGTATGGGGCAGTCGGCCATTAAGAGACTCATTCGCTCGCACTTCACACAGATTTCCGTTGTGCGAGATGATGTAGGACAAGACACAATATGTGTATGTGTTGTTTGGACTATCTGTTGTACAAATACTAGATAAGAATCATACCAAAGGGAATGATTAGGGGAGATGCAACCCGATAAAAGGACCTCGACCCGCCAGCAAAAACATATACTTAAGAAATTTGGGCCCGAATTTGGGCGAAAAGAAGTACCAGCAAGCAAGCCAGTATTATACGCCCTCAGCACCGAAGCCTTGACCATCTTGTAACCAATGAATCCCAGTCCGAACGCCATAACATGCCGGTAAAAAATCCGAAGGAAAGCAGTAGTAGCACAAAAAGACATTGTGATCTCCATCCGGGCATGAGTCACGCCGCTAGACGACCACCGCCTCGTCTAGTTGTAGTATCCCCCATTTGGCGCGGAAGTAGACGTGTTCGGATCGTTGATCTTTCCGCCTCCATTGTGAATGACTGGCGGGTTCTTGTATGATTTGCTGCGTGACGAGCTACCGGAGTTTGTGTACAGGCTCGATGAGGCGGCAGAGTAGGCTGCAACAGTGTTAGAGTCATATCTTTGGGGTGATCTGATAGAATTTGGGAACGTACATGTGGAAGATGTCGAGGGACGGGATGCGTAGGCACCCTTGCTCTGGCCGTAAGAGCCGTAAGATGAGCTGGACGACATGGTTGGTTGGTGTTGAGGGTGTTGGAGGCGTTTGGCTGCCAGTTGTGATTCGAGAAGATCAGATGAGTGATCGGCGTGTGCTGTGTGATAGACGGTAATAGAGTTGTATCGGGTGTATACGAGACGAAAAGGGCGTATCGTGATTGTAATCCAAGGTAGACCGTTGACTGAAGACCAACACGAGGACAACTGTCACTCTTCTCGAAATATGCTTGATATGACTGTAGATAATTGATCGATTGACTGATGAAGAGAAGAAAGATAGCATCCATCCACCTCGACCTACGACTATTTATTCCAGGCAGACAATACCTGAGGCCGCCAACCTAGGAAGACTCACCACTCGCAACGTTGACTGTTCTTTGTCGCCATCGGAGTTCTCCTAACGCTCAATGTAACGCCGTTGCCTGGATAGCTGGGCTAGGCGCGTGGTCGAGGTGAATGACTGCGCGATTGCGATGATTCACACGCGTGGCTATGTTCACCTCGGGACAAGTCCTGAGGCAGGACACGCGTGTGCGCGAATCAGCGATTAGGCTGCACTTTCGGTTCACCATTTGAACTGCCAAGAGGAAGAGTCATCATCGGCGGGTGCGGATTTACCGAAGGAACCAGTTCAATCGGCGTCGACTAAGGTCGGGTCACGGCTAGAAAGGATCGAGGTGGTGACTCGCATGGCGCAGAGGGCGTACGCGTTGCAGCCATCTCCTGCAAGGCACATCAAGCGAATCGAACCTATGAAAAGGCAGCAGGAAATCTGTCAGAGACGCGTTACCCAGTGACGTGCCTGACACCCCAGGCGACAGCGGTGCCCGAAACGGATAATGACAAAGCGGACAGGACTGGTGAATGAGAAAGTCACCGGTTGACCGAAAGAAGATGGGGTGTGGGGGCTGGAGGCAATGTAGGTGCCTGGAGCTATTGCAGGCAGCATTGCAAAGCATTCACCGAGATGCAACGGTAAAGAGCTCATCGGCGGCGTCCGATAATGAAGACAGGGGCATGTAATGGGAAAAAGGGCAGATATGTCAAGGCAAAAGGCGGTGTTGTGGAGTAGGGTAGGAGGCGCAGTGGAAGGGTCCTGGTGCATGGCGGGGTTGTTGCGTACATAGCGGGAGGCCATCAATCCGAGCAAGGCTGTCGCGAGGCTGCACGCGAGTCACGTGGGTGTTCATTCCGCACTGACTCAGAGCAGGTAGTTGTGGCGACTGCGCGGCTCTGGATTGCGCAACTGCGCATATGGTCCAGGTGTTTGCCAGCGCATAGCCGGTGAACTGCTGGAGAAGTCAGGACTGAACTGCTCGCCAACTACGCTGCGCATGCGCAGTAAGGTGGGCCGAGGGACATTGTTAATTTCCAGTATGCCAACGCAGAGCCGGTGAACCGTCGGAGGCATAGCATCTTCAACGTGTGACTTGGGCTGCTTATCGAGCGCGGCATACATGGGCAGCCAATGAGTCAAGATCGTCATCAATTGGTATCGAATGCATTGGGTATCGCTATATCCGCTCCCTGAACCTCCACGTCTAATCGTACAATCTCAGAGCACCATTCAGATCACCAGCAACCACCTTGCTCGACTCCCTCGGATGCCACTGTACTGACAGTACAGGCGCATCGCTCGCTGGAATCTTATGGTACATCTTGCACGTCTTCCAGTCCCAGAAGCACAAGAAACCTCCACTGTCACCCGAGCTAATGAACTGCCCGTCTGGACTGATCGCCACGTCTGGTGCATATCCAGCCACATTGTGCCCTCTGTAACTCTTCTTTCGGTTCTGTCGGAAGCGGTCGGTAGAGCTGTATACGGTGATCTGGTTGTCGGACGATTGGAAGGCAACGTATTTGCCTGACGGGTGGGGTGAGGAGCGGACCATGGAGAACATGTAGGGTTCGGCGATGAACTTGATAGGTACGGGAATGCCGTATTCCCACGCGCGTAGGGACTTGTCGTCTGATGTGGTGATGAAGCGGCGGTTCTCGTCGCAGAAGGTGATTGTGTTGACAGGCCCCAGATGGTGGTCGTATTCCTGTACCATCTCTCCGCTCCTTGTGTCGTATTGCAGGATCTTCTTGTCGCTCATACCGGCCAAGAACTCGTGTGGTGTACTGGGGTTGATGCGCACCACGTGCGGTGTCTTGCCAGTTGTGAACTTGTTCAGGCACTTTCCTGTCTCTGTGTCCCATAGCTTCATGAAGCGATCGTAACTAGCTGATATGAACTGTGTGCCGCTGGGGTTGAAGTCGATGTCGACAACCGACTTTGTATGCCCAGAGTATGTTCGCAGGAGCTCGCGTTGGTGATAGACGTCCCATAGCGCAATCTTCGAATCGGCGGATGCGGAAAGTAGGAGATGTCCGCTGTCAGGCATGAAGCGAACCTGGGTAATCGACTTGGTGTGGTATTTGTAGGTGTGGATCAGCTTCTTCGGTATGAAGTTCTTGGGCTCGTAATCGCCGGTGAGCTTGATGTCGAGATCTGTGGGCACATGCATGTACGTCCGGCCCTGGTAGTCGTACTGCTGGCTGCCTACAAACTCGCTCGTCTCGCCCTCGGCTTCGGTATCGCGGTAGTCTGTGCCAGCGAGCTTCTTTTGCGCGGGCGCAGCGTTGTCGACAATCTCGTCTTCCTCGTAAACTATTTCCACCTCAACGTCCGACCCGAACTCATCGTCTGAGGCAGCATCTGGCCTCTCTTCCTCATACTTCGCCCATGGTCCCTTGTATGCGCCTGCGCCAGTCACGACACTCGAATCGCCCTTGCCTTCTCGCTTTCTTTTCTTCGACCCTGCGCCGCTCTCGATGGCGCGCTGACCCTGGCGGAAGGTGTGGTCGCTGATGTACGTCTCTGCAGCGAACCCAGTTGGCACCCTGCCCGAGCCTCCGGCGGGCATTCTCGCTGTTATGAGGATTGGTTGTGGGTCGCGTAGTGGGCGGGAACTGGCGACGGTGTCGATATTAGGGTTCGGCAAGGCTAGAAGGTGGATGGCGCAGAGTGTCGGACGCGAAGTTGTAGATGGAAGCTTCCCAGCTCACCAGAAAATGTGGGTGGCTGAGCACGGACCACAACCCGACTATGCATTGCGTAGTTACATGTGAAAACTATGGTGCATTTACACGAGGCTAACATAACGCTATCATACCCCATAACTCGTTTAATCCCTCCTGGGTGAATTCCCAACCCCAAACCTGTCGCTCCAGGTATCCCGCATTATCCTAAACCAACAATCAGTCCTCCCGCTAGCAATATGCGCACGCGTGGCTCGCTTCCCCGAGCCGGATATCAAGTGTATCTATCCGTTAATCTTTAGCCGTCCCTGGACTTGCTCTTCGTAGCCCACCGTAATCAGTACAGCCGCGAATATAGCTACGACCAAGACGATGGGCGCAGTCTCCACCTAGTGAGACTCGTCGCGGATGAGGGCGACGATCATGCTGTAGAGGTAGAAGAAGAACATGAGCAGATGGAAACCCAGCTTGATGAAGGATTCCTGTGTGGCTGTTAGCCTATCGCCATATACTCGGTATCCTCTCATCGTACCTTCTTGTGCACATTGAGCTTCCTGAAGATCTCCGTTGCGTCCAACAAATGCTGGTTCTCAAAGATCCTGGGACTGTCAGCATTGTCCTTATTCCTTGGTATAGTCCGGCCCTGCTACGTACTTCTTTCCGTTCCATGCCAACAGAGGTAGGTTCAGGATCAATGCGATCCAGTATCCGTTGATGAGGAATAGGAAGGTCAGGAAAGCGTGAACGGCGGCCTCGGGGATGATGTAGGTGTTCAGGCGGTTGCAGAGATCGATGGGGTTGATGTAGTCACTGGCGCAAAATTAGCATGTGCCGATCAAGGTACGGGCCGTATCGCGTAGATTGCTACGATATGGCATTGTATGCCTGGGGTCGACTTACCATTCCAGATCGCTGTACATGATAGTAAAGAAGACTTGTAGGAACAGATTGACGGCATTTATCAGCACCGCCAACAGGTACAACCATGCTTCGCCAGTCATTGTGGGAGTGTCGTGTGCTGCGTAGCACGGCTTTGGCGTATAGAAGGTTTAAAATAGACTAGCGATGTCGCCAGTAGACACCTGAATACGAATGGACAGGTGGTCGACAGAGGTTCAGCACTCGGATGCGGTCGTGTGTTTGCAGGCTGCCGAGCTAGAACGCGGGAAGCTAGCTCGTGCGCGGGGCCTGGCTAGAGGTTGTGATGACGTGGGTGAGCGGTGGGGTTACACGACGGTGATGCGACGGTAGAGTCTTGAGTAATAACGTCGATTGCGAGGTCGCTCAAATTCTGGCGGGCGTTGGGCAGAGATGTTTGGATGACGTTGAGGCGGAGACACGAGTTGCTTCCCTGGACGGCGGGCAGGCACCACCACTAGCGTCATTCGCCTCGCTTGCGGGTGTGCGTTGAGCGGGCCAACACCGTCCGACCGAAGCTTGACCGAAGGTTGGTGATCTCACAGACGGCCGGATTGTTTCGTCGAAACGAAACTAGGTGTGCAAGATATGGCTGCCAACAACATGAACATAACTACAAGCCGCCATCACGCGAATGCTGATGAACCTCAAAGGCCTCGTGCTCTCGAACCACGCTATGCGTAGTCTAAGAAAGTATCGTATAGCTATGTTATCCCCAAGTGTTCAATCATCCTCAAGCAGCTGCCTTCGCTTCGCCATTCGTTTCACCGTTTGTGGCTCCCGGCATCGATACCGGACCACCTGGCGAATCTGGCAGTCTTGCAGTCAAGACCTCCACGCCATCCTCTGTTACGAGTAGTGTGTGTTCTGTAGCGTGTTAGTCATGAGTGGACACATTGATGCATCTGCGGGGCTTACCAAATTGCGCTGTCAGAGAGCCATCCTGCGTGACACTCGTCCACTCATCTGGCCACGTCTTGTCCCTATGCGAACCAACACTAATCATAGGCTCGATGGTGAAGCACATGCCGGGCTTTGCCGATCCAACTGCCTTGTTCTTCGCGTAGTGAGGAACATTGGGTGCGCAATGGAAGAGCTGGTTGACGCCGTGCCCGCAGTATGTCCTGATGACGCTGCAGTTCTTGCTCTTTGCGTGCTTCTCGATGACGTTTCCGTATTCACGGAACAGTGTGCCTGGCTTGACGATCTCGATGGCCTTTTGTAAGCACTCTCGCGCTGTCTCGGTGACGCGTACAGCATCGGGGTTTGCCAAAGCCTTGTCTCCAACGTAGAACGTCTCGTTCAGATCCGCGTGAAAACCGCCATGGTAGACGGAGATATCGATGTTCAGAATGTCGCCGTCTTTGAGTACTCGTTGGTCAGGGATGCCGTGGCAAATGACCTCGTTCAGCGACGTGCATACGGACTTGGGGAAGTGGCAGTAGTTGAGGGGCGATGGGTAAGACTATTGCGGTTAACAAGACTTTCTGATTCCCTGACATTGTCGCTCTTACATCACGCTCGACAGTAGCCTTATGTACGAGCTCGTCGATGTAGTCAGTGGTGACACCAGGCACTGCGGCTCTTCCTGCAATGTCCAGAATCTCGCGCCCGTACCGACACACCTTGCGCATCGCATCTTGCTCCTCCTTATTCAGAATCGTGATCTTGTTCCTGTTGACAAACACCTGCTCCGAGCGCGGTATGCCGTCCTTCGCGTAGTCTGGGTGTCTTATGTGCTTCGGGACTTCGCGTCGCGGCGAGAGCGGGTATACGGGTCTGAGGGCGCCGGTGTACGAGTAGGTAGGGAACGGGTTGTAGTGGCCAGTGGCTGGATCCGGGTGAGAAACAACTTTCGGCGTAAAGATACTTTGGAGAATACTACTTTGTGATTTATGCTCCTTCTTGTGCTCAGCCTAGAGGGCCGTTAGATTGTTTTGTCTGCAGTGTAAGAGCAGTCTCACTATGTACCCAGTTGCGCTTGAAACAATCCTGCGAGCAGAAGTAGTTCTCTTTTCCGAGCTTCTGGCAGTTCGGACATTGGAGAGAACTCGCATCGTTCTCGCAGTCTTTGCCTGCGCACTTGCGCGGGGCGTCTGTGGCCATCGCGTGCGGTGGTATAGGGCGTGTAGAGGGTGTGGTCGAGGCGGAGGTGGCCTGGTATTCACGTGCACTCGACTGTACAGCGCGCAAGGAACCTATATGTGCGAGGCAACGGTTTGCGCACGGAGGAAGTGGTGAACTGCGACTTTCGTTCGTCCCACGGCATCGTCAAGTCGGAATTCGTGCAGGGGTCCAGGCCGCCGGCCGCCGATCACCGATTACTAAGTAGCCAACTTGAACCAGAGCTCGCGCTTACCCGTTCCAGTCTTGACGTGCATCATCTGCCCTACTTTGCCATCATATCTGACTCTTTGGATCCCTGGTAATGGTTTGATAATTTTCACCCGTGTCTCGCGTTTCCCTCGTTTGCGGACGATGTATTTCCACCCTTCTTTCTTTCTTCCTCCTATTGCTCTCCAACTCACACCACGCCGCTTCTGAGCACAGACCAGTGAACCAACCATCTTTTTACTCCAACTTTTCCCCACTACCTCCTTACCACCATGACTCAGAAAGTAGTTGTGGTCGGAGCCGGGCCAGTAGGCTCCTTGGCCGCGCTTTATGCAGCTGTACGCGGGTTTGAAGTGGATGTCTACGAGCTAAGAGCAGGTGAGATAATGATCTGTAAACCATCTCGGTGCTAGCGAGTGACCTAACGCTAGCCAGATCTTCGAGACCCAAACACCACACCGTTAAACTTCTCCAAGTCTATCAATCTTGCTCTGTCAGAGCGAGGTATCCACTCCCTTCGCAAGACCGGACTATCCGATCTGGCAGATGCAGTCCTGGCAGAGACGTTCCCCATGCATGGTCGCATGATCCATATCAGGAAGAATGGCGAGTATGTTCGACAGCCACAGATCTATGATGCGAGAGGGAGAGTAAGTACAGTGTGGTCGCATGCTATTGATCTCATGCTAATTTGGGTAGAGTTTGTTGGCTATGGATCGGACAGGTTTGAACAAGACCTTGCTTGACCATCTAGAGGCCATGCCTAACGTCAAGCTCATGTTCAATCACAAGTTGGTAGGTGCAGACTTCCGGAAGAAGACCGCGTGGTTTGAGCATCGTACCAAGTCTCCCGAAGAACAGGGCGACGAGTTCGAAATCAACTTCGATCTCATGATCGGTGCCGACGGTGCACACTCGGCGGTGCGATATCACTTGATGAAGTTTGTGCCCATGTCGTTTCAGCAAGAGTACATCGACAAACTCTGGTGCCAGTTCAATGTTCCAGCCACACCGGACGGCGAATTCCGAATACCTCCAAACTACCTACACATCTGGCCCCAGGACGAATCTATGTTCATCGCTCTCCCAAACCTAGACAAGACTTTTACATCAACGCTTTTCTTGACCAGGGAAGGCTTTGACCAATTGGACGCGTCTGGAAAAGTAGTCGAGTACTTCAATGAGAAGTTCCCCGGCGTGGTTCCTGAACTCATCACCGAAGACGATCTCCGCAAGCAGTACACATCTAATCAGCACCTGCCCTTGATATCGATCAAGTGTACTCCATATCACTACGGAGATTCTGGCGTTATCTTAGGAGATGCGGCCCATGCCATGGTACCATTCTACGGCCAAGGAATGAATGCTGGACTGGAAGACGTCCGCGTTCTTTTCGATTTCATCGACAGGTATCCCAACGATCGATCAAAGGCACTAGACGAATACACCAAGGAGCGCACTCCTGACGCACACACCATCAACGATCTTGCCGACGGGAACTATCGCGAGATGGCAAGCGACGTCAAGAAGCCTCTATATCTACTGCGGAAGTGGGTGGAGGAGCAACTCTATATCTACGTTCCGAGCATTGGCTGGGCCACACAGTATTCACGAGTCACATTCAGCAACATGC